CGTTTATTTATGATCTGCTAGAAATTGATCTGCTGCCGGAAGTTGGCAGATCATTTTTTTAATTGTCTTTTTTTAAGGTAAAAACGCCGGAACTATTTCTAAAAGGTGTCAGGAACTATAGAACTCAGCTGCATGCAATGAGAACTCTCATTTATTTTTGATCTGCTGGACAATGATCAGCTAAGTTCACTGACATCGAGCCACCCATGTTCGCCGTCCGCAGCCCGCGCTTACGGTGGCCGGAGATCGTAGCAACAAGGCATACGGTGCACCTAATGTTGATAACAACGAGGAAAATATTTGAAAATGTTGTCCTCTTAAATTTCTTAGTAATCTAATGATTACGGTGATTAAAACAACAGATTAGCAAATCAAATATACCGAGTGTTTAATACATAACATAACATCACGCCTTTTTATCCCCAAAGGGGTTGGCAGAGATGCACATTACGGCACTTCATGCCACTGTACAATGTAACACCCACTTTTCACTATTTATGTTATCCCATGTAATAGGGGTAAGCCTATTGCCATATACTGGGCACATTTCTAGAATCCGTGCTACTACTGAGATTTTTTTATAAACCCTGTAATACTTTGCCCGACCCGGGGATCAAACCCAAGACCCCTTGCCCGGCAGTCGCACTTGCGACCACTCGGTCAACGAGGCAGTCATATTGTCACATAGAAATGATTAAAGCACAAAAATGTCACTGCCTTCCTTCCTTCGGGGATAAAAGGCGTGATGTTATGTGTTATGTTTTATAGCCTAAAACGTCGCGCTACGTCCAAAAGATACCGAGCAGAGCGGTTGAAGCCGCGGCAGAAACCTAATGTACCAAATAGTATGATTGAAACAATAGTTTATATTTCTCAATTCCAGGAAAACATGTTGCGAAATTCATTACCTGGTTGAACTCGGAAACTGGAGCGTCCCTGGACAACTACCACCTCATCGGTCACAGTCTAGGTGGACAGCAAGTTGGAATCATTGGACGGAACCTAGGTGGAGAGGTCGCTTACATTACTGGTAAGTGAATCTATATACCCTTAACCGACGAGCATGCATGAAAGGACTGATGACTGTTGATAAAGCGAAAGAGATATGTAGGAACCGTAGCAATAGGTTGTTTCCAGGGTAAGTTCAAAATCTAATTAGTACGTCAGTTAGATAATGAAAAAATATTAGACACGTATTTTCTTATTTTCTCGTAATAAGGCAATACTTAGATAAAATGGCGTTAAGTTTAGGAGTAGGAGGTAGTTACGTCATAACGTGGTACATTTTTTAGCACGCTGTGACGTCACGCGACATTTCAAATCAATATATCGTCAAAAGCATTTAATTTTGTGAGAAAAAAATACTGGTCTAATGTTTTAAAATAATCTACCAGACAGATATTAAAATAAAATTAAGAAAACTAAGTACCCTGTTGGCGTTCTATAGCCTCTGCCTACTCCCATGGGAGTCAGGCGTGAGGTTATGTATGTAAAAATAACAAATATCAAAACCGGTTGAGTCGTAGTGTACCAAGTTGCAACAAGTGCGATACTAGCGACCTCTATTAACTCGTCGAGTACCGGTTTTGTAGACACAATTATAGAACAATAGGTTGCGGTCACCGGTGACCGCTTGGTGTTTGACAGTTTAATCCAAACTCTTTTTTGGCAAACTGTAATAAGTAGATTTTTTAATAAATTTTTAACCGACTTCAAAAAAGAGGTTCACACATTGACCTGCTTGAATGTACTTATGTTTGTACACACGGCTACAGATCGAGCTTTACATAACCAGTATAAACTGAACGTTAAATGTGCGGAAAGATGATGCGACGCGACACCAGGATAAACTGGTTTTGTATAGGTTGATGTGTGGCCGCGAGTACGTGATTATCTCGCGATTGACTGAGCCGGTTTTGATGCGATTTTCAGAAAAGTGTTTGTTATACTTAAGAGTAGGTTTTACATAACATCACGCCATTTTTAGTAGGTATATAGAAGTACACATTACGGCACTTAATGCCACTGTACAATGTAACACCCACTTTTCTCTATTTATGTTATGAGTCCCATGTAATAGGGATTGAGCCTATTGCCATATACCGGGCACAATTCCAGAATCTAACCCAGGGTAGGGTGATGTCACGGAGAACCTAACGAGTTACCGGGGCTCCGGCTCGACGTGCAGGAGAAGGAACAGGGTGGTTTTTAGTCAGTAAGAGTCTAACACTCCCTCCCGCCTCACCCAGACGGGAGGAGACATTAGATGATTTTCCCCCCTTTAAAAAAAACCCTTTCGGTGATAAAATGCGTGATGTTATGTCATGTAGTTATGTTAAAGAAAGCAGTGGTATCATCATTAAACTTTCTTCTTCACAGCTCTGGACCCAGCGATGCCCGGCTGGACCCTGAACCCATATGGCTTCAAATCCACTGACGGGAAATACACGGAGGTGATACATACTAACGTTGGACTTGCTGGTCGCGCTTCAGCTCTGGGTGACGTAGACTTTTATCCGAACCAGGGATTTAATATGCCAGGATGTGGTCTGAATCCAAGCTGCAGTCATCACAGGTGAGTTGGAACTTATAATATGAACCCGAGTGAATAGATTGCTTATGGGACGACGTGCTTACCACCAAACGAGATAGTGGTCAAACGTCAGTCCCATCTAATATAAAAAAAACTCCTACAACCGCTGCAACTCCTGTGCACCAGGATCTACAGTAGAAACAACCATGAAAACACCGGAACACTGAAGTCCAACGTCCCAGGGACAAGAAGAACTGTCTTGTCTCCCGCAATGAAATAAATGAGAAGATATTAATAGAGGAGAAGAAAAAAAGGACTGCTTCGTTGGCTGAGTGGTCGCAAGTGCGACTCGAGGTCTCGGGTTCGATTCCCGGGTGGGGCAAAGTATTACTGACTTTTTAAAAATTGTCATTGGTAGCACGGAGTCTGGAATTGTGCACGGTATATGGCAATAGGCTCACTCCCTAAAACATGGGACTCATAACATAAATAGTGAAAAGTGGGTGTTACATTGGTGCCGTAATGTGGGCCTCTGCCTACCCCTTCGGGCACGCCATCGCGAAGGACACTCCGGGCGTCGGGGATCGCGGGACAATATCCGGCCACCGTAAGCGCGGGCCTGCGGACGGCGAGCATGGGTGGCTCCCCGTCCGACCAGAAACAGACCCGAGCGTACAGCGCGTCGCGTTCCGCGCGCGCCTCAAAGAGCCATCAGACCACCACAAATGGGGCCCTATAGGGCCGATGCCGATTCGGAGTCGCGGAGAACCTAACGGGTAACCGGGGCTCCGGCTCGACGTGCAGGAGAAGGAACGGGGTGGTTTTTAGTCAGTAAGAGTCTGACACTCCCTCCCGCCTCACCCAGGCGGGAGCAGTCATTCGATGATTTTCCCCCCTTAAAAAAAACCCCTTCGGGGACAAAAGGCCTGAAGTTATGTTATGTAGTTATATATTGTTATTCTGAGCGACTCGGCAGTTAAAAGAAAAAGCCAAGGTTAAGTCGCAAGAGTTTATTTGTATAAATAAGTTATAATTAGACACACTTTAACGTCCTAGACACTCACAGTCGCGCGGTTGCCCTAGTGAAAGACTATGTTGACCCGGTCTAGATCAGGAATTTGGGCTGAAAGCCAACAAGTTGGGCTGGAACCGAAGATCACGATCATATCAGCACCTGAGTCTAGACTAAATCTGCACTGAATTTGGGAAAATAATGATTATACAAGGTGTAGTTTTGAAGCCGTGTCATTTCTCGGGAGCATGTCACAGAAGTCATAAAGGTTCAATGTAAGAGAAAATTTCGGGCCTATCGTTTAAGTTGGACAATATTTCAGGAAAAGCGACAGCAATGCTTCTTATTGGAGTTTTATAGAATTAGGAATAATATCAATTACGTGTTTGAGTTTGTGTGTGTTAATAATAATAAAAATAATCTGGCAACACTACAAACGTCAACTTGTGAAAATTTTACTCTGCTTTTATATAAATAATTTATACCATATTCCTTTCTGTTTTCGTTTCTTCTAATATTTATCAACAATAGAAAAACCTTTTTGTTTTATAATAATACGCCATAATTTTACAATACTGCACACTAAGAAGAAAATATTAAAAATGAAAATGACAATGACAGAATCAACAACTTCAAAAATAAATCTAATAAAGCAATCGTTTGATTAACAATGTTGACGAGAGCCAGATGCAGACAAGACGCACCCCCACCACCTCCGGACTCGTCGCTTAGCTCCGCCTCGCCATCACCGGAACCCCGCTCCGCTGGATCGCCGGTGACTGCAGTTGCGTCGAGCTCGAGCGACGACTATTTCTCCCCACCTACGTCGCCACCACCTGTACGTCGGCCGGGGAGAGGCCGGCCACCGACTGGCTTGGGAACCAGGGGCCATCAGGCCCTGGGACGGGTCCCCGCTACCGGTGGTTGTGTGCGGCGCATGAAATGGTCTCAAACCATAAATGAGAACGTCATGCGCGCATACTACGGTGCTACAGAGGGAGGAACTAACCTCACGGCGTACCGCGAAAGGATGCTGTCTATGTTTCAGGTGCTTGAACCATCTGTCAACGTCTCGGCCCAACGACTGTCGGATCAAGTGCGGGTTATCCAACGCAATTGCAGATTGGATGAGGCTACACTTGATCGGCTACGCCTTGAAGCACTGCGCAACCGTGTCGTCCCCGCACCACCACAATTGGTGGCACAGACACCTGTAGTGTCACAATGTGTGACATCGACCACCCCTATCGTTGGAGTGGAGGACGATAGGGTTGAACAAGTGAGTACTCAGTGCAATGAACGTCTAAGGAGTGCTTTGGAGGATGCGGTTCGTGAGTACAGACTTGCTCCTAGTGATTTACGACCAAAATTACCACGTTTGCCCATGTGTAGGAAAAATAGGGCGCTGGTGAGCGCCTTGGATTCGCTACTTAAAAAATATTTTGAGAGTAGCGAAAACCTCTATGATACACACTCGATCTTGTACTGTGGGGCGGTTGCTGCTTGTCGAGTGGCTAACGTAAGATTCCCAAATCTTGACGCAGCAGTCCGACCAAAACCAGCAGTACCTGCCTGGCAGTATAGGATAGAGCGTCGTATCAGTGAGGCCAGGGTACTCATTGGCAAACTATCCTGCTTCAGGGAGGGCAATACTCGTCCTAGAGTGATGCGCTTTGTAAGACGTGCATTTGTGGGGACTGAAACCAGTCCTCATGAATACCTGTCACGTGTTACAGAGCGCATCGACTTCCTGAAGCAGAAAGTTTATGCATGGGCAAACCGTAT